GGTTATCAAGGAAGCTTTGAAAGAGCAGAACATATTTTGCTGCTTCACAATTGTCACACCATTCAGAGATAATCACTGTTCATTTTCCTAAAAATTTTCTGCATAAGACAGATATTAAAAATATTTTCACATGAAAGCAACCCATGCTTGTGAAACGGTCAAACAACACGAAAAGGTATAACATGAAAAGTACAATTTCCCTGGTCAACATCCCCACACACAAATACACACACACATACTCTCCCCAGTCCCACTCCCCAAAGGAAATTGCCAATAACAGACTGTCTGAGATTCTCCCAGTAATTATCTGTGCATTTCCTCTGCATGTACAAATGCACATAGACTGCATACATACAGTGTGTATACATATATACATGCACACACTCTGTGTTGCAGGGAGAGCCTCAGTCACATAGACTATAAAATGTGATAAAATGTGCATTGTACCTCCTGGACTTTTGCAGCATTTTGCAAAGTGACAACTCTACCCCTACACACTAACATCTCCTTTTTCAAAAAACAGGAGGAGGATAGTACTAAACTGGCTATTTTGTGACTTGCCTTTCTCAACGAATGATGTATCTTAAATGTCTTTTCATATCACTGTCTATAAATAGACCTAACTGTACATACTCCAGGGTGTTCAATTGTACAGCTGTATTATCATTTAGCCAGTTTTTGACAGATGCTGGGATCACTCCTAGCTTTTTTTGCTACGACTAATGAAATTGTAATAAACAATTACACCTATTTGAGTTATATATGTATATTTTACAAAAAGCTTAAAGTACATGTGTGTGTACAGCGTGTGTATGGATAGCTTTTTGTACTTAACAATATGCATTTTCATGAATAAATGTCGATCTACAGCATCGTTTTAATGGCTATATATTATGTTATACTGGATGGATGGAACATATATATATATTAGGGATTTATGTTGTTCCCGATTTTTCACCATTATAAACAATGCAGGATTAAACATCTGTGCACTTCAGTGTTTATGCAGTTGTCAAACTACCTTCATGGGACATATTCCTAGAGGTGAAGTTGCTAGGTCAAGGGGTATGCATATTTTTGTGAGTAGTTACTTCATTTAAAAGGAAAACTACCAGTTCTGTCATGTAGATTTGCTTAACAGAGGGCCTCAGATATGGTAGCCTTGGGAAGAAATGTTTATATCCTCGGTTGGCGGCTTGAAGACAAAGGCAGGATACCATGAGCTGGAAAGGGTAGGGAGACAGATCCTTCCTTAAAGTCTCCAGAAGGAATGCCACCCCGCAGACACCTTGATTTCAGCCCAGCGAGGCCCATGTAGAAGGACTGATGATTTCCAGAAATGTAAGCGAATTAATCTGTGTTGTCTTAAGCCACTAGATTTGTAGTGATTCGTTACAGCAGCAGTTAGAAACTGATACACTTGCTTACATGCAAGACTAATGGCTAGGGGTGGGGGTGGGTGAAGGGTAGAGGAGTAAGTCTATGGCAGAACCAATAAGTATTTCTTTTCATCGTGCCCCCCAGGTGGTAACATGCATCCAGTGGGGCTTCTGGGAGTCAGTGACATAGACCACATCGGTTTGCAGAAGTAACCATCTCCTGTTACATAGTCAGTTATTTGCTGGCCTGGAGGCTAGTCCAGGTAGGTGATTGAAGATGGGGCTGACCTGGGGCTGCAGTCTAGCATCAACCTTAAATCCATTTCCACGTGACAGTCTCAATCAGCTTGACTAACCTGACCCCAAGCTACCTTTCCAGCTTGATTTCCAACTGCTTACCAACCTGAATGCTCCCCTCCAGCCAGACCAGTCTAAGCAACATTTACTCAACGAGTCTTGAGATTTCTGTGTCTTTGCTCTTAAAATACAGCCTGGGCCCTCCAGCTGGGTCAGCTGGGTCCTCCAGAAAGCAGGCTCTGAGAAAGAGTCAAAGGTGCACGAGGTGTCTGAGGGCTTGGTGGGTAACATCTGTGAAAGATAAAAGGAGGAAGAAGCTGAATTGAGCAGGGGAGACTCAGACTGGGATGCAGATCAGACAAAGTCTCAGCCAATTCAGCAAGAACTCTGGAACAAATACTGCTCAAGAGAGGAGTCCCACATTGGGCAGAAATGGCCAGAAACTAGGACCCCAGTAATGCTCAGTCATTGGCTGGGAGCTGCCCACAAAGAGCAAGGCTGAAGCGGATCCTAAGGTGCGAATAGGAGGAGGCACTCAGCTAACGGCAGTTCTTCCTTCTGGTCTTCAGTTGTCCAGACCCTGTCCTTCCTTTGAGCTCCACGATGGCAACTGTTGATAGGTCTTATCATAACTACTGCATTTATTTCAACATATGGGCGGTCTGAGCTGGAAGTGACCTTAGGGATCATCGCATTTAACACATAAAGAAATTGAGATCTGGGGCGGGGGTGACTCATTCAAGATGATATGACTAACTAATGGTAGAGCCAGGACTAGAACCCAAGTGTCCTAATACTCCGTCCCGGTGTGCAGTAGCGTGAGGAAAAGGCTGCTCACCCAGTAATCTCCCTCCTGGGCATATATCCAAAGAAAATTCTAATTCAACAAGATAGATGCGTCCCAGTATTCATAGCAGCACTATTTACGCCAGCCAAGACATGGAAGCAACCTAAATGTCCATCAACATATGACTGGATAAAGATATCCAGTGGATATACAATGGAACAATACTCAGCCGTTAAAAATAAAATGCCATTTGCAGCAACATGGATAGACCTAGAGATTATCGTACTAAGTGAATTAAGTCAGAGAAAGAAAAATACCGTATGATGTCGCTTATATGTGGAATCTAAAAAGATACAAATGAACTTGTTTACAAAACAGAAATAGACTCACAGACATAGAAAACAAACTTACAGTTACCAGGGAGGGAAGGGAGGGGGAGGGATAAATTAAGAGTTCAGGATTTGTAGATTCTGCTATATAAAGAATAGATAAACAAGGTCCTACTGTACAGCACAGGAAACTATATTCAATATGTTGTAATAACCTATAATAAAAAATATGAAAAAGAATATGTATGTATGTATAGCTGAATCACTATGCTGTACACCAGAAACTAGCACAACATTGTAAATCAGCTATACATCAATAACAAAAAAGCTGATCATTTTGGAAAGATTAGTACAGGGTCAGTCTTCACCTAAAAAGTAATTGCAACTGCTAGAAATCAAGATTCAGCTTGCTTTGAATCATGCAGAATCATTAAGACGAAGGAAAAAAATAACCAATCTTCCCTTTGAAAAGATCTTTGTGGCTTAGTTAAATCTCAATTATATTGCTAAGAAATAGTGACAAAACTGTAATCCTTAAGAAAATTCTATAGTCCAGTTCATTTCTGTAATCACCACTAATCTATAAAAACTCATGACATAACTGTTTTAAAATCTTACATGTTAAAGGAATTGAAATGGACCACTGCATTACTCCTTCACATTTTGAAAATACAAATGGCTTATAAAATCGTTTTCAATTAATGATAACAAGCTAGAGAAAGTTATGGAAACGGCAGAGCTTATTGTTTACACGAGGACAAAGTTCACTTACAACGATAACTACTTAGCTTTATTTCTAGAGGGATGACTTTGTTTTCAGTGTCCACGTGATACTGATTTTTAGAATGGAAAAGTGCTTGAGCACAAGTCTCAGTTGGCTTTGCAAATGACATCCTTATTTGGAATCCTTGCAAGATAGTCTTGGCTACCAGAAAAAAAGGAAATGGTCAGCTTTTATTGCTTTTTTAGCCCAGGCATCTTTCAAGTTATGTGAGTTTCTAACTCCTTGGAAACAAGTCCCACTCTTCCAGATTGTGAAGTTCAGGAACGGGTGTGTTGGGGGAGCGGGGAGCGGGGTAGCTGGTGAGTCAGTCCATCAGGCCACTGTCAACTTCTCAAACCTGTGAGAAAAATGTGAATGAGGTTTACAGGCTCTATAGCCCTCTTGGGCCCAATTCCCCAGTTTTAAACCTTGATGGATCTAATTCCACCTCCCCTCCACTAGCATCTCACAAGTTTACCCACTAGGAATGTAGATGATGCCCCACAGACAGGGGGGCAGCTACCCCCACGTTTGTGTGTGAAGTGTGGCACGCGTCTTGTGTGTGTTTGCCATTAACAAGAGTAAAATGCCAAAGGGAGTCAAAGGAATGCTCTTCAGGTTAGCTTTTGGGACGTGAGGTGGGAAAGGAAAAAAGGATGGATCTAGAACGACAGAAACCTAAGTCTGAGATTAAGCAGTTGATCTGGGCAGTGATTTACCTGGCACAGGAGCCGCGGCCTCTCAGGGGCAGGAGGCCTTCTCTTCCCGCTTTACTAACGTGGGAACATGATTACTGCTTCCAGCTTCACTCGAGAGCTTCTGGGCCGAGGGATTTGCAGGGAAATATTATCAGATTACTTGGGCTACATAAAATACCAGCCCTCTTGGAATCATTAAGAGTTCCGTTCGGATGGTACACGTTACTGTCGACCACAAGTGAGTCTTTCTACAGCCATGATAAACACACACTTGGATAATTATGCATCAGATGTGCTGGAATCAGCCTCCACCCTGAGTTTTCCCAACCATCACCTAAAAAAAGACCATGGCTTTTGAAGGTAAATAACTTTGACAGAAAATGTACTGGCTAATTTTTTGTCTTTTGCTAAATCTCAGAAACATATGTAACACACTGGGAAAACTTCTTGAGACAGGATGACCGTGTTATTGCCAAGATCGCCAGTTCACTCCTGCAAGGGCTGTGGTCTCTATTCACACAGCAGATGGGAGGACAAAATATCTGAGAGCCATCCTGATGTTAAGCCTTGATAAATATCAAGGTGGAGAGAAAAGAGCCCTGAGGCCAGAGGCCTGGGCTTCCGCGCTGGCTCTGCTGCTGGCTGTGTTTGTGACCTGGGGCAGGTGACTGGCCAAGTCTAAGCGTCAGTATTCACATATATGAAGTGAAAAGAGTGATGTCAATCCTGGGGCTGCTGGGAAGTTTGCATGAGATGGTGGATGTGAAAGAACTTAGAATTAAGAATAACATAATCCAAAAATGTCGTTTTATTATTCACCCTGAGCTGGTACCCAGGAGCAAGGGGGATGTGCGTGGGAAGTGCTGGTGGCAGGGGCTTCTGGGCTTGTCAGGGGCAAGTACCCAGCTCACACTGGACACCAGGCTGTCTACCAGATTGGAGAGATGAGCGAGTTGGAAAAATCTGTGATTTTTATCTGGAATAATCTGCAGGGAGGACCTACTGCCACGACTTGGATCCAAGTCTTGCCTTCCACCTCTGATTTAAGATGCTGTGGGTATCTACACGGGTGGCCCCAACAGTTCTGTGCTGACAAATTACTATTGCCCAGATGTCACTAACAAACAGTGGAAGCATTACAGGGAAGGTTCTGTTGTTTATGGAAAACAGGCAGACCCCTGCAGGTGCCAGGGTCTTCCTCCTTGAAGCAAGGGCATCTCATCTAAGAGATCCTCTGGGTACAGAACTTACTCTAGGCCCATGCTTGGGATGTGGCAGTTTGCTTACTAATTTGCGATAAACTAGTTCTCAGATTTCTCAGTCATTCCACTTGGAATCACTTTTGGAACTGAGGAATGAAATCTGCCAAGTGAAAGTATCTCATTCATCAGGGCCAGCCTGAGACTTTGGCAGCTTCCTTCCAGGCTGGAAGGATGCAGAGTACCCAGCCTTGAGCTACTCTCAATGGCTCCTGCCCACCCCACTTCCATTTTGCTTTTGGCAGAGGCAAGAGTGAAGATGCCAGAATCTGGTCAAGGCTAGAAAGCTTCAGGTTGGTCCTGGTATCTGTTTAGTCAGAAGTGTGGGACAAGCCCATCAGATACCACGTGGTCAGTCTTGATGTGAAAGCCTCTGCTGATGGAGGTTAGCGAGGGGACCGATTTCTAGGTAGGAGCGCAGTGTGCGTGGGGGTTTGGGGGGGGTGGGAGGGGCACACAGCAGGGTTCTTATGCTCCCTCCCACATCCGCTGAATAGCTCTTTTAACCGTCTTAGATGCTAAGGATTCACTTAGCAAGTTAAAAAAAAACCCTGCCGCGGGGCCCGGGTGCCAAGGAAGAGAAGTACAGAACTTCCAGGAGAACAAACTCTGCTCTTTAGTGCAGAAAGAGAAAAGGACGGCGATGTCTCTAGACCCTGTGGATTCACGGTTGGAATCTGTAAGCAGGTTTGAAGAAAGGAACTCTCTTCTTCAAAACGAAGCTCAGTAGAAGAACAGATCTTTTCTTCTCTCTGGAGATTGGCTTTCTGAAAAATAGGATAAGCACCATGAGGAAGAAGCTGGCTTGGGGTCCGAGGAGCCCAGGTTTGAATCCTGACCTCACCACTCCTTGCTGTGTGACCTCAGGCAAGTTACCTGCACTCTCTGATCTGCCTTCTGGCCAAATGATATACAGAAAACTGCCCTTAACAAGGTTATCCAAATCTCTGATGCTACATCCAATAGAAATTTCTCTATCCTTCTTTTATTTGATCTCTTGGAAGCCTTTGCCACCATTGATCACTTCCTGTTTGGAAACATTCTCATCTTTTAGCTTCTGTAACACCAACCTCTCCTGGCTTCCCCCACCCCCTCTGTCTTCCCCCTAGCTCTTCCAAAGCTGGCTCCCTCACTTTCTTCGGGTCCCTGCTTACACATCACTTCCTCACAGAAGCCTCCTTTGACCAGTTGATCCAAAGTAGGCCCCCATCTTTATTTCAACACCTGGTATGTTTCCTTCATACTTATAATTTGCAAAGATTTTGCTTTTTCCTTTTTATTTTTTTGGTGGAGTCAACCTTCCCCACTAGACTATTAACTCTATGAGAGCAGGGGCCAAGACAGTTGTATACACTATTAGATACAGATAAATAAAAGAGCACCATGTCTGGCAAACAGCAATATCAATGTGATTAATATCTGTAGATATTGAAGTAATGTACAATGAATCAGTGTCTATTTCTACAGATTAATAGAAATCAAATTCACTAAAAATTTTGGCACGTTTTGGGGACTCACGTCCAGAAAGGATGCTCCAACTGCCCTTCCAGCAGATTGCTCTTCTGCTCCGCATGGTCTCTGCCTCACAGGCGTGCGCCAGCCGGCACGAGGGGGCCAGACGGAGACTCTGCCTTCCCGCCTTTGACAAATTATTTATCTGGGGCCTCACAGAGGAGATCTTTCAGAACTACCAAAATCCTTATCGAAAGGTTCATCCAGCTCACTTCAAAATCAGGTCAATACAAAATATATGAAGAATCAAACAGATAGAGGTGACTGGGTCCCATGCCAAATCCACCCAGCCGGGAAGTGAGGCGCAGAATCTGTGCGTTTCCCAGGCTCCCCCCGTGGTTCTTGGCATTAGGCAAGACCAGGAGACTGGAGGTGTGCTTAAGGGCGTAGGCTTTGTGGGGGGGCCCTAGGAGGCCCCCCCTTCCCGGTCCCCATGCCCTGCAGCCTCCCTCTGCAGGATAGCCGACCCACTCCCCACCTCCTGTCAGTCAACCAGTCTCCGCATGGAAAGCTCGCCCCGTCGCCCCTTTCTCAAGGCGGCAGCGCTCCTTTGCGTGCCTTGCAAGCCTTCTGCGGCCTCTCCCCTTATTCCAGGGCAGAGTCCTGGCCACAGAGAGTCATGAACGCATAGACAGTGAGACGACCATACTAGTTGCTAGTCTTCACTGTTGTCCACTTGATTTAAGTTGGAATCGTTTTGGACGATTTACATTCAGTGCAATTTCCAGTTCTGAGGATCGTCTGACACCGTGAGAGCAGAGTCCATAATAATACCTCTGCCACTTGCTGCTGTGTGATCTTCAGGCAAGTGCTTTCATCGGTTTCAGACTCAGTCTCCTCATCTATAAAATGGGGGAACTCACTCATTCATTCATTCCCTATTTTCGGGATGCCTCTTGTGTACAGCACCGAGGATGTCCTCGGGCACGTATCACAAGGTCAGCATGGGGACTGAGCAGGATGCAGCGGGCGGTACCCGGTGCAGAGCTGCCACCCATACATGTTGTTGCTGTTATTTTGGGTCTATGAACAATTTAAAGCATCCAGTTTTTAGTAATTCTAAGGCTTACAATTTTAAAATGTATAAACTCTTAACAAGTACTTAGACTTTATGATCCTGATTTCATGACTTGGAAGGCTAGCAGAGCTCATACCTTCAGGCAGAGACTTCTATGAAACCTGACGCAGCCATACTAAGTAAGTCTCCCGAACTAGCCCTGAATCCATCTCCTCACTTGGGCATGGCCAGTTCCTCACCGAGGGTGATTTGTGGCTTGTTTCTTGGTTTCTTGGTCTTACCCAACAGCTTCAAACAAAATAACTTGTGCTGTATTGTCAGACAGATTTGTACCATTTCCTTTCTTAATGTTCTTTTATTGTTGCCAGCATCCGCTCACTCATGCATTCAACACACATGGACCAAGCTCTGTGCCAGGCAGCGCTGCAGGTGCTGGGGACGGGCGGGACACCCTTCAAAGTCTCAGCCCTCAAGGAGCCGACATTCTACTGAGGCCTGTATACTGCCCTCACTCCCACTGCACACTAGACTGTAAAGTGCCTGAGACCCAGGGCCATGGTGGCAGTCCTTTCTTCAGTGCCTCTCAAACACGCAGCTGCAGGCCCCGGGGTGCCCTCCAGAGCGGTGCATTTTGCTGCCTTACTGTGTGGCCGGGCTTATGGGGGCTAATTTCCATTAGAGTGTAAACTCTAAGCATTTACATATATTATCTCATTTAATCCTCACAGAAATCAGATGAGATGAGCACTATTTTAATCCTCATTTTATAAATGAAGCCACTGAGCTCTGCAAAGGTGAAGAAACGTGACCAAATCCCTAAAGTTACTAAGTAATGAAGCCGGATTTGAACCCAGGCCATGAAGACCGTCGTGTTATCCCCGCTAGATTGTCCTCATTTGGCTGTTCCCACTGACACTACTTTCAAATTGAACTCGGGGCCCAGAGTCCCAGCCTTTGGTGTCAGGTGGCATTGCCTTCTGACTGCAGAGTCCCGGGTTGTTTCAGCCCCTGTGTTCTAGGCTGAAAACTGAACATCTGGCAAAGGGCAAGCTAATCCCCATCAATTTGTTCATTTTCCTGCGTCACCTTGGTTACCTCACTTAATCCAGTTCAGAGAAAAGAACTCAATAGAGTTGCTTTTATAGCAAAATAAGAAAATGCACAAAACATTTTACAAGATATGAAGTGATTCTTCTCTTTGAGACTAAAACGAAACAAATTCTATGGGTGAAAAAACTCAATGATAGGACTGAGGATCATTTCAGCGGCTGGAGATCCTGGTTTTTATGCTACCAGTTTGTTCTCAGGATACAGAAGTATCATCAAAGACAGAAGCACATCCTTACTTTCAACTGCAAGGCTGGCGCTGGCAGGTCCACCATCTGGGGGGAAGTAGATTTTCTTAACTAGAAAAGAAGAAAATATGATTGGAAATGAAATCTGGGGCTGAGCTACAAAGTGTCCCATAGCACCCCCGGCACCCCAAATCGCCTGCCCCTCAGTTTATAGACCCTCGTCATATTTTCTTTTACCAGATGCTGCAAAACCAGAGAAGCTTGTTTTTAAGGCCCTGTAGGTTTTGTTCTCATCTTCCAGGCGGTGTTCCGGATCAAGGGTCACTGACTTCCTCAACAGACCCTGGACCATCGACCGCTAATTAATACAATGGATTTCAGGACTGGGAGGACAGTGTGAAGAGTTTGTAGTGTTTGAGACTTTAGCGATCAGCCCTTGTTTGAGTCTGTGTCTAGAGCTTTCAGGAATAGGATAATGCCTGCATTACAGGTGGGCCAGGATGTGCCTGGCATAGACTAGATGCTCACTAAATATTTGTTGAACTAGATTTGAACTGCACACTCTTGTTATGTTTGGGAGGTGATGATTTGAGCCATCTGTGTTCTAACCAGCTGTCGAGACAGGGCCTTGCCGTGTGTGTGCACGAGCATCTATACACAGTTGGCCTCATTTTCCCTCTGAATCCAGGAGGAGCAGAGTTTTGAAAAAGAGTGGAGGGGTGGGAATCTTCATAGGTTTCCCAAGCGGGCCGTTTTTATGATTTACTCTTTTTAAGTCCATTCCTATTCAAACTCGGGGAATGATGGCGTGGTATTTTAATGGAAAATTTAGTTTCAATATTAGGATAGAACACAGCACCTGATTTAGGTTGGCTATTCTGAACAGGCCCTTAGTGTAATATATATATACTTAGTTCAGAAGTAAAGGCAGGGGAGGGTAGAGCTGAGTCACAGAGTGCGTGCTTAGCATGCATGAGGTCCTGGGTTCAATCCCCAGCGCCTTCATCAAAAAAAAAAATAATAATAATAAACCAATTACCTCCCCCTCAGAAAATTTTTTTTACAAAGTAAAGGTAGCTAGCTTCTAGCAATTTCTTTTCGGGCATGGAACACTAGAACCACAGACATTATGGACCAGGGAGCCGTAAAAGTAAATTCCTCTACGGTGCAGAATGCCAGAGGGTGGAGACTTGGCCCCAGGAAACTAGAAAATATCTATTATTACCAATATTTATCTTGTAGCAGAGTGGCTTGCTGTTTGGGTGAAAGTACACCTCAGGCCAATTCTTCCCCCATCCTCTTACAAAGAAGGGAGTCTTGTTTTCCGATGGGCATTTTGCATCTAGGAGGCACTAATTAAATATCTGTCGGGTGAGTGAGTAAATGAAATAGTGAATGAGCCTTAAGATGTTTTTGTTTGGGAGAAGGGTGGGGGGTCCGGAGCAGGAGCCCCAGACAGCCAGGCACCGGCACGGCCCCCAGGCAGCAAGGGGGGGGCGCCTCCACAACGGCTTTGAGTTCTAATGTGTGGAGCAGACAGACGGCTGGTGTAGATTGCCCGTGTTTTTGCCCAGGAGTCTGGCATTATTGCCAGTTGCCAACCTGTTGGAAGGCCAGAGTTTTGAGCCAGTAGGGATAGCAGAGTTCTGTTTTATAGATGGCTGGATTATTTGGTGACTCACAGCTAGGTGAAGGCAGGACCCTAAGATCTGAGGCAGCATCCGTCATTTTTCTAGGGCCAGTCCAAGTCAGCAGACCAGGGTGAATGCTCTCGGCCTAGCACATCTGGCCAGATGTCTTTGTAACCCTTTAGTCATTAAACGGTGAACACTGACGAAGCCTAATGAAGATATATGGAACTCTTAAGAAGGATGTTCAGTCCCTAGAAGCCCAGTGTCTGGAGTGGCAGCAGTTAGTCTGGGCACCCCATCACCAGCCCACTCATTCTCAACCACAACCAATCAGAGGCAACCCTCCATGTCTTCAGAGGCATCTCCTTACAGTGAGCTGAGCTGGGAGGCAGGTGGAAGAGCAATCCCGTGCTTCCGGCTGCCGGGGCGGAGTTGCAATCTTCCCATGAGGCAGATTCCTGAGGATGCTCGTGGCGTCTCTCCTGCTGGAGGACACTCAGGAGGGGCTCATATTTCCCATCAGGCTGGGGCTCTGGAGCCAGATCACCAGCGGAAAAGGCGGGAGGGTAGACAGGCTCTGGGAAGCTGGGGCTGGGTAGGGAGGAGAAGGGCCGCGGCTCGCCAGACTGAACAGAGGGGCTCCCGGTCAGGGACGGTGGGTACACATCCATAGCTATGGGGCCACAGCCATTCAAGCTGCAGGTGGCGGCACCATTTGCAAAAGACACTTCCGGCTGTGGCTTTGTCCGTTGAGAAGAGAAACGCCACTGATTTGGAGGCATGTCACTGTCTGTGGATGAAGAGGTTTAGAAGACAGGTTTATGTACTGTTTTCAAAATGGAATTAGCTTAATTTACTTCTAGGTAATACATGCTATTTTTTTAATGTGAAAAAATGTAGAAAAGGTAAAAAAAATTGCTCTAAGTGTAATATCCAGAGACTACCATTATCTACCTGCAGGTGTACTTCTAGGATTTGTTTCTGTTCATGTATGCATTGTTTTCGCATCCCACATCATTTTTAAGTTTGCTTTTGTGTTATTAAAATATCCCCAAATATCCTCCAAAGCAATGAATAGAGCCAACACCAGGATTTTAAATGTCTGGGCAGTATCCCATTATAAGGCAGGAACATGACTAGCAAACATGGTACTTGGGCGACTAAGTTATTCCCATTTTTTCAGTTATATTAACATTGGGATGGATGCACGTCTCCGTATATACATCTTTGTACTCTTATCCAACTAGCCCCTTGAGGAAATTCTCCAGAAGTAGAATTACTTGATTAAAGGTGATTTGTTTGTTGCCATTGTGCTTGTTTGTTGCCATTGTTTGGCTTTATTTTATAGCTGCTGTTAGGAATACACTGAATAGGAGGACTCCACAGAATTTTATAAAGGGTTTAACACCTGCCAGCGCCACACAAGTCTAGGCACTGAAACTCCATTTTCAAGAGGGGTCTGGGGTATGGGGATGTTAAGACGCTGGACCAAGTTAGCAGAGTAGATGAGCCAAGGAAGGATCTGAGCCGGAGTGATCATCAATAGCGAGGGAAGTGGTTGCTGGGATCTCTTCCTGCAAAAGCAAAATGCTCAATGTCAAGTGGTGACTCAGTTTCTTCCTTCAGAGTTCTTGTGGACTAGCTGGTGGTGATGGAGTCTCCTTTGGTTTCACAGACACTATTCAAATTGTGCCTATAACAGCAGCTGAATTGGAGTTGTCAGAGAGTCTAGGGCAGCTCATGACATGGATGGATGTTTTCCCCCTTATTAACACCCACTCAGGCAAGAGGGGAGGAGGGGGAGAGTTCTGGCAGATGGTGCCTAAAGCCTGGAGCCGTTCATCTATCCAAGGTAATGAAGAGGGGAGCGGGTGTGGAGACAAGGGAAGATTGGAGGGCTGGAGAGGCTGTCTGGTCCCCTTCCCCTCATGCGCCCCTCCCAGCTCTCCCCAGTGTTCCATTTGCCTGCCGAGGTCTGCCCAGTGATACTGGAGAGCCCCCACCCACCACCAGAGCTTTTCATGTGATACAGATGATAAGATCAAGAGAAGCCCGAAGACACAGCACAGATGTGCTGCTCAAATCTTCACATTGTTCACAACCAACTACGGACAACAGTTGGCCTCTTCGTGAAGCCAAGGGCAAGGAAACATCTATCAAGATTTGTTCCTGGGGATGAATGCTATTTTTGAAAACTGATATCTGCGGGCTGGTAGCAGTTCCGGGCGCTGTGTCGCACAAATAGAGTGATTAAGCTGACTTAGTCTAATCACTGTCCGTGCTTCATATTGAATGAGGGTACTGCATGCCCTAAGCACAAATCGGAAACAATGAGTAGCCTCTGACAACTGGGCAGTTTCCATCTAAACTGGCCTTACAGATTTCGCACATCGGACCCAGGTTTTGAACGCTTGAAATGTGGAAGGCAGGGCACCCCTGCGTGTTTTGTATATTTTTTTTTAACTGCTTCCCTTTCAGAATTCTCTGCCAGAGACGTTAAGGGGAGTGGGTGCTGTGCCACTGTCCTAGGTCCCATTGGGCCACTAAGTGCACCAGAGCAGTCTGGATGGGAGTAGATGGGGAGGGACAGAGTGTCCCAGTCCTGAATTCACAGCAACCCAATAGTAGGTCTTGAGTGGCCTGGGACAGCCACCTTCCCAGAGCAGGCTGGGGTGTGGGGGTCCCATGGAGTGGAGATTGTGGATTTGGGTGGGCAAATTGCTCCAGCATCTACGCCCACCAACCCTGGGAACCAGTGAAGGTGCCTTGAATGGTTGCCTGGACAGGCTCAAGACTGCTGCAGCTAGAAGTGGCCCTGGTGACACCCCCTTACTCAAGCTCCCCCTCTGAGTTACCTCTGGAGATGAGAGGGAGCCCCAGGGAAGACTGCTGCCCTTTCAAGCCCCAGCCTACGCAAACGAACGGAGAGCCGGCAAGGAACGCTTCCGGGACACCTAGGGAAGACTGGATTTTTCTTACTCTTTTTTTCTTTCCTTCAGATGTGAGTCAATACCAGGCAGTGTTAATGAAATGTTAACCAACCCATATCTTTTGATGTCTTAAAGTGGAGCTGGCTTTAGTCTTTTTTTCCAGTTGAAGTTTAGTCGACTCACAGTATTATTTTAGTTTCAGGTGTAAAAACATAGTGATTCATTATTTTTAGAGATGGCATACTCCATACAAAGTGATCATAAAATATTGACTATATTCCCTGTGCTGTACATTACATCCTTGTAACGTACTTATTTTGTACCTAGTAGCTTGTACCTCGTAATCCCTTTTCCTTATTTTGCTCCTCCCCTTCCCCCACCCCCGGCTGGATTTTTCTTTCAAGTAGGAACACACAAGGCTTCCATCCCACATACCCCACCTCTGGGCATCTAGACTGTGCCTCTTAGTCCCATCCATGCCTCTAGCGTTCCTGAGGCCCCTGATCCTAAGACCAGGTCCTATTCAGACAGCAAGAGCCCCCCCCCAATTTCCTACCCTGCCCCTGAAGGCTATCCCCCTGTCTCCAAAGCAGAGAAACCCAGAGACTGCCTCCATGCCCACCTACAGACATTTCTTCGAGCCCCCAAAACCTTCTAGAAAGCATCTCCAGGCATCGAAGAGTCTGCTTCCGCCCCAGAGGACCCTCCTCTCCACTCTATCCTTGCATGTTGGCCCTGCCTCCCTGTTTCAGACTAGTTTCTGGACACAGATTCAAATGTCACCCCATTAGAGAGGCTCTCCCTGAACTGTGCATCTGAAGTTTGTTAGCTCCTGTCTCTGACCCTGCCCCGCGCACTTCCTTCTCAGCAGTAATCATATCCCGTGCTTCCCGCCCACCTGCCTTCCCTCACTGTTGGTCAGCCCTACTGGCCACTAGGCTTTAAGAGGGCTGAGATCACTTCTCCTTTGTTCACCATCACATCCTCAGAGACTTGCACTGTGCCTGGCACAGAGTGGGCCCCGACTAAACATGATTGTCATGAAGGTGCACAACACAGGCACATGCACAAACACACATGCACACACAAATATGGACACCCCTCTCCCCAAATCCTTCTGCGTGGAGGAGAGCACGCAGGGTGGGTAAGAGGCTTTGAAGTCAGGCAGGCTGGGAGTCCAATCCCAGCTCTGCCGCTCCCTAGTAGGGTGACACCGAGCACGTCCCCTTCCACCCTGGAGCCTGTCGGGGCCGTGGTGAGGCCGAATGGGACAATCCACGACAAGGGCATGGCACTGTGCCCGGGACCTGATGGGCACTCAGTTGGTGATAACCATTGCTGTCATTACTGTTATTAACTATCATTTGGGTTTAGAAACCCGGCGTAGGCTCACACAGGTTTCTTTCTTGGTTTGCGACACTCCACGTAATCAACCAGGAAAAAGCAAGATGGTCACGCCCGAGGCCTGAGAGGCCTCCCTGCCCTGAGTCACCGAGTGCCACAGAGGGGAGGGGAGAGAAAAACAGCCCAGGAGCATGGGAGGCAGTGGCAGCAGAGACTCAGGGCTGAAGTGGCGGACGGAATAGACGGTGGCTATAAAGGAGAGATTGCAGAAGGCTTTGCTCGGTGTGTCCATTCCCAGAAATCACCCGTCAGAGGTGGGCAGAACGACTGCATACCTGGAAGAGCTTTTGTTTAGTGAACGCTTACTCTGGGCCGGGCTCTCTGTTTAGCATTCAGCAGACATGATCTCATGGCAGCCTGGTGCTTCACCGGCTTTGCCTCCCCGTTATTGTATAAGAATCCAGCCGGGCTGGAGGGATGGCAGAGCGGCATAACACTTCTGGGAACAATCTGTCGTTATAGACTGAAACCCTAGAATTTGAGAGTATGCTTTGATCCAGCCAGTCCACTTACAACGATTTATTTTAAGGCTATCATCAATGATGTGTGCCAAAGCTGAGCGACAAGGATAGTCAGTGGGACATTTACAATAGAGGGAAAGATTGGCAACAACTCAAATGTCCAAAAATTCTCTCTGCCTTCTCTGTCTCCACCTTTAATACAAATCCTGCTTTCTGATGAAGCTGAAACCAAGAGCCGTCTGAATGCATGCCCCTATCTTGCACCACAAAGGTCCCAGCTTTGGCCTGCCTGATCTGCACACACCGACTCCCCCCTCTCTGCTGTCTTGGCTGCTACTACTGGTCTCTGATTCATTCACTCCAGAAACAAAGAGGAGATTCTTGGTATTAGCAGAGATTGAAAAATCACGGGACACAGAGGGGCAGCTTATGCAATGCAGTCCCCCTCGCCTCCTTCAGTCACCTGCATGGAGTACCTTGTCTTTGCTGACTATCTGGGTTCCCTTTCCCACCTGAAAGTGGAGAGGAAATACAGAACATGTGCTTGTATTCTGAAAGTGGCTAAGAGCTCTGTATCGAGATTCAAATGCTCTGGTTGTGAACAGCTGCCCCTTACGAGCTGTGGGATCTTGGACAAGTCATTTGCCTCTCTGAGCCTCAGTTTCGGCATGGTGAGAGTTAACCAGTAGGATGGTATCAGGAGCCAATGAGGTAACTCATGTGACAGCCCCTAGCAAAGGGCCCGGCACACAGGAAGCACTCAATAAATGTCACCATTCACCCTCTGGCTGGGATGTTGTCAGGGTCCACAAAGGCAGTCAGGACACCAACTCTGGAGTCCGACTGACCTGGGTTTCAGTCTCTATCAATCACTGGCCTGTGTGACCCATCCCATCACTAACCCTCTCTGGGCTACAGTTTCCTCTTTCTAAAATGAAGATATTCACACCCACTGTAAAGCAGTTTGTGAAGCACAACACACACGCACAGGTCTA